AAAAAAAAAAAGAAAGAAATACCAAGCTATAGGTTGCTATTCAGAAGCAGTCCCTAAAAAGTATCCAATGTACTCAGTCCTACTATGAAACTAATTTATAGCTTTCATAGGAAAGCTATAACCCAATTTTAGCCCAGGAATATTGGGAGAGGGGAGAGGGAGGGGAGAGGGAGAGGAGGGGAGGGGAGAGGGTGGGGGGAAGGAAGATGATTGTTGGGATCACGCCTATGGTTCATCCTATAAGGGTACATGAGAATCTCTCTAAATGTAGAATATAAATGTCTTAACACAATAACTAAGAAAAAGACATGAAGGCTATGTTAACCAGTTGGATGAAAGTATTTCAAAGTGTATACAGAAACAGTACACTATACCCCATGACAGTGTTAATGTACACTGCTTTGATTTAATAAAAATAAAAAATAAAAATTAATGTACTTTGGTCAAAATTAAATCAATTTATGTTAGAAAAAAAGAAAAGAAAAGAAAAATGTACCTGAGAAAAGACTTGAAGAAAAAGTATAAAAAATGAACACAGCGATTATCTTAGCTGGGTTAGTAAAGGATCTGTATTGCTTTTCAAATGCAAAAATGTATATGGATACATTTTTGACTCATTGACCTTCAAGGTCTCCTCAGGTCTGGCCATGCCCTAAGATTGTGTCCTTGTATAACCATGTGCTCCCAAGAGCTGTCCTGAGGTGGTGCGATGCCATAGGTGCTGGGACACAGAAAGGCCTGATCTCCCTGTATGGCCATGAAAGAGTGTTTCAGAGTTTCTGTGGGATATAAATAGTATGGTATGGACAAGAAATAACACTGACAGGCACATGCCTGTGGCCTGACCTCCATCTGAGTTAATCTGGGCTGATTTAATTATTCCATGTCAAGTCAGCCTCAGCTACTTTAAGTAGATTAACCATGGCTTATGGCAACTCCTTTTTTTACTGTCCTCTTCTTTCCCCTAAGTCAGGAGAAGAGTCTAAACTGAAGCCTAAAACTCCCTGAGGCGTATGTGATGATACGAGCAAGGAGGGCTGGGTTCTCTTCTGGGCCACTTTCTCTTTTGACTTCAGACCTAACCCCGAGTATGCACATTTGTTTCCATGGCTTCGGCTACGTCCACAAGTGTGCATGGTATTTCTACTGCAGCACGGAAGATACCATGAGGATCCTATCTTGCTTTTGCGACCTTTTCTGCCACTAATGTGTGAGCTCCATAAAAATAGGAATGGCATTTATGGCGGTGCCCATAGCTCAGTGGGTAGGGTGCCAGCCACATACACTGAAGTTGGCGGGTTTGAACCTGGCCTGGGCCAGCTAAAACAATGACAACTGCAACAACAAAAAATTAGGCATGCGTTGTGGAGGGCACCTGTTATCCCAGCTACTTGGGAGGCTAAGGCAAGAGAACTGCTTACATCCAAGAGTTTGAGGTTGCTGTGAGCTGTGATGCCACAGTACTCTACTCAGGGCAACAGCTTGAGACTCTGTCTCGGAAAAAAAAAAAAAGAGAAGAACAGCATTTTGTTCATCCTTGTGTCCCCATCTTGCAGGCAGGGATATGTAAGCTGAGAACTCAGGGACAGACTTGGTGCTAACCAGAGAGTGAGGGGGAAGGACATTTCAACACAGAAGAGTATAGAGTGGGCTTAGCGCTTGTGGCTCAAGCGGCTAAGGCGCCAGCCATGTACACCTAAGGTGGCAGGTTCGAATCCAGCCCGGACCTGCCAAACAACAATAATAGCTGCAACCAAAAAATAGCCGGGCATTGTGGCGGGCACCTGTGGTCCCAGCTACTTGGGAGGCTGAGGCAGGAGACTCGCTTGAGCCCAGGAGT